TAGCTTGGACATTAGGAAAAAATTCCTAACTGTCAGGGTGGTCAAATATTGGAATAAATTGCCAAGGGAGGTGGTGGAATCTCCCTCTCTGGAGATATTTAAGAACAGGTTAGATAGACATCTGTCACCCCCTTTTCCACCCACCCCCATCCACTCTGCTCTCCCCCCCCAACCTGCCACACACACACAGCCCAGTGGGCTGGACTGATGCCTATCAAACTGCAGCACCCACAGCTGATGCCCAGCCCTGACATAGGGGAGACTACATACCCCTTTCTGGTGGGCTGTGAAGGCTCATGCCCTACATCTCTCTCCATGCCACCCATAGGCCTTTTTCTCTTTTTAATTCAGCCACCTGCTCAGTGCCTTAGGTTGAGATCTCCCAGGAGGTCCAGGAGCTCCCCACCGGCAGAGGCTGGCTTGCTTGTAGGGGCAGCTGGAATGACGGGGGTTATATCACTTCCTCCCAATAAGTCCAACAAGTCATTTGCCTAATAAGGAAGCAACAAAACCCAATTACGTACTCCTCTCCCTGCTGCCTTCGCTTCCGTAGGGGAACCTGGACTGCCCTGCCCTGCCTTGCCCACAGCGTATCCAGATCTCTAACAAGCAGACCCCCGGCCTGTCTCAAGTCTGGTGCACGTAATGGGGGGGAGTTTTGAGAGACAGGAATGTTTTTTGCACAATCATGCAGGTACAGTGAGGCTGCATCAAGAACACACGACGATCAACGCTGTACTGGTACTTCTATTCTGATAAGCAAAAGTACAAGATAACAGCCATAAAACCGTTACAAAAACTGTGTGTGTGGTTAACATCCTGAAGTAGCAGGTTATAGCTCAATTAAGGACACTGGGCATTGTAGGTCTCTCACATAATATGCAGTTGGTTGCTAAATATTATTTGAATGACCAAGTCCCGCTTTGCTATAAAATGGGCTTAGTAAGACGAATCGTAGGGAGAGAGCACAATTGACCCACAGCTCCTGCTTGTTGTAACAAGAAGTAAATAGACCCTTCACATCAGCTGCAGCAGTGCATGGTGTCCCAACGAGGGGGAGTAAAAGGGACCACGACCTCAACTGTAATATAATAAATCTTCTATTAATTGCTTTTGTATTGTTTTGTGTTAAGAACAGCCACATTGGGTCAGACCAAAGCCCAACATCCTGTCTGCCGATAGTGACCAATGCCAGATGCCCCAGAAGGAGGGAACACAACAGGTAATCTGCACGGGATTCCTCCTCTGTCACCCACCTTCAGAGAAACAGAGGCTGTGTCTAGGCTAAGGATGTTAAGTATCGATTAATTTCCTAGTCGAGTAGTTGATGGAATTTCCATTGACTAGTCATTAAGGAAGGGCACTTTAAACACTTACTTCTCGCTCAGGCTGTGTCTAAGCACAGCTCCCAGTTGCCACTCTGCTCAGTCTCTGGTCCCCCGCCAGGTCTCAGGACAACCCTCATGCTGCCCCTCTGCATTTTTAGATAGCACAGGGAGCGGCAGCCTATCTGCTTGTCTGTCTCAGCATAAGCCACCCTTTTAAAAATGCAGAAGGACAGCGTGAGGGTTGTCCTGAAACCCGGTGGGGGACCGGAGAATGAGCCAGCATCTTTGCACGCCTGCTCCGCTCTGTCCCTTTAAGAGTGCAGCGCAGCAGCTGGGAATTGTGCTGCAGCCTGAGCAGGAAGTGAGTGCTTTAAGTGCTCTTCCTTAATGACTAGTTGAGTAGTTGATGGAAATTCCATGGACTACTTGACTAGTAAATTAATCGATACTTAACATCCTTAGTTTGAAGAAAGGTATTAATTAGTTAATCATTCACTACAAAGGCAATTTCCCCCAACTTTGTATTTTGCATTTTCACAACAAATGCTATGAATGGAACACATCCAACCTGATTTAATTAGCTTCATTAACACTCGTCCTACAATAACTGTTTCTCTCTCTCTCTCTCTCTCTCTCTCATTTCCACTCCCTACTCCTCCATGGAAGCTCTTAACTTAATATGTTTGTTAGTGTCTAAGGTACCACAGTGAGCGGGGATCCCTGCACCCAGAAGTAAGGGCCGATCTATTCCCCACTGAAAGAGGCCAGAGGGATAGAGAACAAGAGGGACTTCCAATCAGCATCCAAAAATGCCACCTGCCTTGCTTCGTAATCTAGAGAAACTCCTATCCGCCTGAACGTATCGGTTGAGATCAATCTGGCTGGCATGGAGGTGTAAAGCCAGTACAGATTTATAGATCCTGCACACCGGTGGAGCCCCATAGCCCAGATCCCCTCCTCGGGGCTGGGGCGGATCCGTCCCTTCCTTCTCACAGACTCTCTGGCCACCCCCACAGCCCAGTATTTCCCATTCCCCACCTCCACCACCCAGTAATGTTGCCCCGAGCTGAACCCCTCTGAGCCCAGCACACAGTGACTGGTGTCGAATCGCTCAGGGATGTCAGGCAGATCCTGCAACGTGTCTGCTCGGCTCACACTTTTCCCATCCTCAGACACAAGCAGGATGGAATGAGCCGTGTCCGGGTCCAGAGTCACGTTGGCTGCAGAGAGAGAAAAGCCAGACGTGAGAGGCAGAGTTGAGCCCTGGGGCAGCTGGGAAACTTCCTCATACTGCTTCAATCTGGCTGGGACAGGCCTGGATCCCAGGCAGCTCCTGTGCACCTGAGTCATTCCTCTATTTCACCCCCAGAAACAAAGCAATAGAGACATGGAGGAAAGAGACTGACTCTGCAGGCAGGGAGTCAAGAAGGAGGCTGGGCACAGATTTAAAACCCTTGGAAATCTCCCTCCCTTCCATGTCCTGGCAGAAGAGGGGAAGACGTGGCATTGGTGAGGAGCCGGTCCAGACCACACAGTGGAGGATGTGCTACTGTGAGAGACAGCCCTGCCATAGTCCAGAGGAGAAAGGCCATGGCATGAGTGCAGGCAAAGCCATGCCTCAGCTCAAAGTGAAGGGAGCAGTGCTCAGGGAAAGGTCAGAAAGAGCCCAGCTCGAGATGAACCATGGTATACAACCTCACTGCACTCCTTTCTCTGGGTTTAATACACCACAAATCTGTGGAAGCTCTCCCTGGGCCTCCGGCGAGAGTTAAGGGTGTCTGGAAGCTGGACTGTGAAAACATTTCTGTTCCGCATTGTGAGCATACACTGTGCGATCAGGGCAGTGTCAGGATTGTTTGTTTGATTTTGGTTTGGGATCACATCAGTGCAGGATAAGTTTATTAGAGGCATATTTCTGGCTTGTTATTTTACCTACGTGGGCAGTCCGATGTTTCTGTGAGAAATTACTCTTATTGGCAAGAAAATCTCCCCCGGCATTGCTCCCTCTCTCTGTGATTACACCGGATCCCACTGCTTTAATCCAATTCAGATGGCACAGCATGTGTGAGGGAGGATAAAAGATTTCAGGCTGTCCTGTTTCTAACATCCACGCTCCGAACTGACAAATCTGGATGGGAAGTGACCACCTTGCAGATTAAACTGCCTCCACATAAACCTCTAGCTAAAATGTGTAAAATAGCCCACCTGGATACGCAGCTTACTCCCATCCATGGTGACCTTTTCACATTCCCAAAACTTTTGGGCTACGTCTACACTGGCATGATTTTCCGGAAATGCTTTTAACGGAAAAGTTTTCCATTAAAAGCATTTTTGGAAAATCGCATCTAGATTGGCAGGATGCTTTTCCGCAAAAGCACTTTTTGCGGAAAAGCGTCCGTGGCCAATCTAGACGCGCTTTTCCGCAAAAAAGCCCCAATCGCCATTTTCGCCATCGGGGCTTTTTTGCGGAAAGGAAATCTCTGCTGTCTACACTGGCTCTTTTGCGCAAAAGTCTTTCAGAAAAAGACTTTTGCCCAAACGGGAGCAGCACAGTATTTCCGCAGAAACACTGACAATCTTACATGAGATCATCAGTGCTTTTGCGGAAATTCAAGCAGCCAGTGTAGACAGCTGGCAAGTTTTTCCACAAAAGCAGATGATTTTGCAGAAAATCTTGCCAGTCTAGACACAGCCTTGCAGCCATACCATCCCTGGCCATGTTGTGGCATTGTGTGGGAAACATGCTTTAGAATTCCTTGCTATTCCAGCCCAGTATAACAGACATATCTGGAAAACAGTCAAAACCAATGCTCATGGAGATGATTGTTGAATTCAACTTTAACTATCTGTGACTACTTCACTGACATAACTCTAAAATACAAAACGGAGTGGGACAAAAACATCTGGAGATCTTTACTAAACCTTGGTTGGAGAATCTTACGTGCTGAGAATCTTATGTGCTGAGATGAGGCATCAGAGGGCTGGTGGTCAGCGATGTTTCTGATAAGTGGATGTTTTGAGTTGTGTGTTACAAAGAAGTTTTTATATGTGAGTTGTCTCTAGATGTAAACACAACCACCACCTTGGCCCTCACCCTGTGTATATGACAACAGCCACTTCCAACAATCCCTCTCCATTTCAGATGGAAGGATGTCTGGAGGGAATAAAAGAAGAAGTGAGATGAGATTTCATTGTGTCACACTTACAAAGGCATTGCCACTACTATAAGGATTTTATTACAACAGAAATACACATACACACAGGTCATTCTAAAAATCCCAGACAAAAAGCCTTTCCTTCAGGCACCTTACAGCTGCTGACCCAACTGTCACCAAATATCACAACTATCCTGAGAAATAGAAGAGCATAAGAATGGCCACACTGGGGCAGACCAATGGTCCAGCTAGCTCAGCATCCTGTCTTCCAACAGTGGCCATGTCTGATGATTTTGGTAACTGGAGACTTAAGAACAGCTGGAGCATGGGCTTGCACCCCTGACCATCACATTGCCACTACTAGTTGGCATAGTAAGGATTTTATTACAACGGACACACACACACAGGTCATTCTAAAAATCCCAAATAAAAAGCCTTTGCTTCAGGAGCATAAGAATGGCCACACTGGGGCAGACCAATGGTCCAGCTAGCTCAGCATCCTGTCTTCCAACAGTGGCCATGTCTGATGATTTTGGTAACTGGAGACTTAAGAACAGCTGGAGCATGGGCTTGCACCCCTGACCATCACAGCTAATAGCCAGTGATGGACCTGTCCTCCAGGAAATTCTCTTATTTTTTGGATCCAGTTACCCTTTTAGCCTTACGGCTTGACTGAGCAGTCTGTAAAGACATATTTCCTTTTGTCTGTTTTAAGCCTGTTTTAGCAGGCTGGCCAGCAGCCTGGCTTAGTGCCTGGTCCAGAACCTATCCCCATTACAGGTCTGCATTTACAGTATATTAGGAGCTTAGACCCACCCTGGACAGGGGCCGCTGCCACCTGTATCAAAGGCAGCAGTGCTAGGCAACAGGCAGTCGTTTTTTAAACACAGGCAGCAGCATGGAATAGCAGAGAGCTCCTGGGAAGCAGGGCCAGATAGCACTGGCTGCCCACCCCATCCCTGAGGGATATAGAATAGTCAAGTAATTGATAATTCATGAGGTTAATTGCAAGAACAGCTGGAGCATGGGCTTGCACCCCTGACCATCACAGCTAATAGCCAGTGATGGACCTGTCCTCCAGGAAATTCTCTTATTTTTTGGATCCAGTTACCCTTTTAGCCTTACGGCTTGACTGAGCAGTCTGTAAAGACATATTTCCTTTTGTCTGTTTTAAGCCTGTTTTAGCAGGCTGGCCAGCAGCCTGGCTTAGTGCCTGGTCCAGAACCTATCCCCATTACAGGTCTGCATTTACAGTATATTAGGAGCTTAGACCCACCCTGGACAGGGGCCGCTGCCACCTGTATCAAAGGCAGCAGTGCTAGGCAACAGGCAGTCGTTTTTTAAACACAGGCAGCAGCATGGAATAGCAGAGAGCTCCTGGGAAGCAGGGCCAGATAGCACTGGCTGCCCACCCCATCCCTGAGGGATATAGAATAGTCAAGTAATTGATAATTCATGAGGTTAATTGCCTGTTCAATTAACTGATATTTAACATCCCTACTTCTGAACCCTGCTAAAAGCAGCCAGCTGCAGGGACCTTGTGCTCTATGTGCCACGAGCTCCTGGGAAGCTGCAGGGGGAGGGGCTTTGCACACTGCCCCTGTCTCCAGCATAATCTCTAATGTCCCATGGGCAGGAGGGCCAGCAGCCTGCTGCCAAAAACCGAGAAACGACCCCCCAAATCATAACAGGGAACTGCCTTTTAAATAAAACTTTTGCACCGTCTCGGTGCAGTTTTGGATGCCTGACCCCCCCCCCATACATGCAGCTCTTGGGTCCCAGGGCAAAACCTGCCCCACACGGCTCCCCCGGGATGTATCTGCCCCGCCCCAAATCAACCCCCCCCGTCCTCCCTCACTCTGCCCCGCCCCTCAGGCGCGTCCTCGCCCCCTCCTCACTTCTGCTCCCCCGGCCGGGCGCTACCGCGATAAGCAGCAGGGACTCGGCCCCTGGCCGGGCGCTCCTCGAAGCGGAAGCGGAAGCACAACCGGAAGCAGCCAGGAGTGACGCAGACGCTCCCTTGGACTTTAAGCCCCGTACAGGAAGCCGATCGCGAGATGTGGGGAGCTCAGCGCATGCGCACTGACAGCGGCGGGGTCTGCTCCCTCCCTCCGGCCTTAGGCTGAGTCAGACGCTGCTGCTCTGCGCTCCCGACCCGCAATGGGCCAGCCAGGGTGCGCCGCGCATGCGCAGTCGCTCTGCTGAAGCCCCTGTCCTTCGCCGTGCCCTCAGGCGCAGTCCTACCCCGCCTCTGGGCTGTGTGATGTGGGGGGCCTGGCAACAGGGCTGGGCAGGCCTGTGACAGCCCCAGCCCCCTCCTTGCCTCTGCTCAGCCTCCCCTCTCAGCCCTGGGAAGAGGCTGTGCCCCTCCCACACACTTTCCTTGGGGTGCCATTCCCAGCCCTTTGGGTTTCGGGGGGCCTTGCTCACAGGCTGAGTCTGGGTGGGTGCTGGCACTGGGCGTTCACAGCCAGGGTCCTCAGCCTCAGTTATTTGGCCCTACACAGCAGATCTGCAAAGAGCTAAACATTCAAGAGCACCTCCCATCCAAATTCTGCATCCCCCACACACACCCAGGTCCTGTACCCCCCACTCTCATTCCACTCACTGCCAGCCCCATCCCACACACCGAACCCCTCATTTTTGGCCCCACCCCAGAACTTAGGAGAACTAACAAAATCCACTCACCCTGGAACCCCAGAAGAATTATTGTGGCCTATGGCAGGAGTGGGCAATAATTTTCACAGTGGCGGACACAATAAATTTTGGTATGTGGTTGTGGGCCAGGTCCATCCCCAGAAGGTGTGGGGCCTGAAGTGGAAAGGGAGGGGCTAGAGACTAGTCTCTCCCATAGAGTTGTCTGAAGCTGGAGGCTTTGAAGTAAAAACGCAGCAAAGGGCTTGAGGCTCCCAGCTCTTCCACCACTGCATTTCCTGGTAGCTGCCTGGGATTGCTGTGGCTATATAAAGGGCTTGCAGCTCTAGTCCCTGCTAGGGTAGCACGGTGACCAGGAGCCATGAGCCACTGAAATAGGATCTTGCTGTCTGTGCCACCACCTGAAAATTGCGGCATGGGCAACAGGATATATAAATAGTGGCCAGATGCAGCCGGCTCCAACCTGCATCTTGCTCACCCTGGGCCAATGGGTGCGTCAGTTAGGGGCTACATCAGTGATAAAACCCTAACCCTAACCCCAAACCTAAACTCTAACCCTAAATCCAAATCCTAAACCCTAACCCTACCCCTAAACCATAAACCCTAACCCCTAAACCCTAACCCTCGAACCTGAACCCTTAACCCTAACCCTCCCCCCCACACACACAGAGATCAGCGGTGTAGCAATGGGGGAAGGGTTGGCAGTTGTCTCTGGGCACCTCGCTGGCGGGGGCGACAGGCAGTGGTGGGAGTGCACAGCCCCATGCAGCGAGCCCAGTGTTGGCGGGCCACTTGCCCCCTGCAGACAAGCCACCAACGCAGGGCCGGGTGGTGGGAGCAGGCACTTCTAAAGTTGGGTTACCATATGTTCGCTGCCTGGCTCTGTGGGACGGGGAGGGCATTGGGTTAGAGCCGGGGGGCGGGCCTGGCTCTGGCGGTACTTATATTTTTTTTTAAAGGGGAATTTTATAAAAAGTTGAGAAACACTTCTCCAGACCTTTAATCATTTTTGTTGCTCTTCTCTGGGCCGTCTCCAATTTCTCCACATCTTTCTTGAAATGTGGTGCCCAGAACTGGACACAGTACTCCAACTGAGGCCTAACCAGCACAGAGTAGAGCAGAAGAATGACTTCTCATGTCCTGCTCACAACACTCCTGTTAATACATTCCAGAATCTTTTTTGCAACAATGTCACACCGTTGGCTCATATTTAGCTTGTGGTCCACTATGACCCCTTAGAGCCCTTTCTGCCGTACTCCTTCCTAGACAATCACTTCCCATTCTGTATGTGTGAAATGGATTGGTCCTTCCTAAGTGGCATACTTCACATTTGTCCTTATTAAACTTCATCCTAGTTACCTCAGACCATTTCTCTAGGTTGTCCAGATCATTTTGAATTATGACCCTATCCTGCAAAGCAGTTGCAGCCCCTCTCAGCTTGGTTTCATCTGCAAACTTAATAAGCATGCTCTCTATGCCATCATCTATTGATGTTGTTGATGAAGATATTGAACAGACCCGGTCCTAAAACAGACCCCTGCGGAACCCCACTTGTTATACCCTTCAATCAGGATTGTGAACAGTTAATGACTCTCTGAGAATGGTTTTCCAGCCATTTATGCACCCACCTTATAGTAGCCCCATCAATTGCATTAACCCAACTTGCACTGCATTAACTTCAGGGGGAGAGACTGAGGGAAGTGTTTCCTCTAAGATTTTCTTCCCATGGGTGGAGCGAATTGTGTCTTGTGCACCAGAATTGAGTCCATGTGCGCTTGTTCAGATGTGTGCCACTGTGGCACCCAAGTTATTAATAAATATCTTATAAACTTCTCCCTTTTCCCTCTGCTGCCATGTCTCCACCCTTCCCCTCAACTGCTCTCCTGGTACTTGCTGCCTCCCACCCTTTACACTCCTCTGTTGTTCTGACTCCTGCCCTTCTCACTCCCCTCCGCTCTTTGGGGACCTGCATCCCCTCCTCTGCACCAGCCCTTCTCTTCCGCTGTGTCCACTCCTCCTCTAGCCCCACTCTGATCATCTGTAGCTACTCCACCCCCATTCCCTCGCCTAATACCTCCCTCTACCCACCTCCCTGCCTCTCTCCTTTGGTGCCCGTCCCTCTCCTCCATGTCCCTCACAATGACACCTGCACCTTCCTGCTGCCTCCCCCTTCCCTTACTGCCCTTTCCCTCTTCCTCCCTGGTGCCCACCCTCTTATCACCCTCTGCCCCATTTCTCCTTATGCCCCTCTGTGCCCTCACATGTGATGTGATCCATCCCGCCTTCCTCATGCCCACCCCTCCTTTCAACCCCTCTTCTCCTGACACCCAATGCTCCCCTCTCCCTCCCTCTTACCCCCATTGTCCTTCCCCTCTCCTCTCCCAGCATCACCCCTCCCTCTCCCCCCACTGTCACCTTCCCTCCCCTCCCTCCTCCTGCCCTTTTCCTCATTGTCTCTTGGCCCCCTGGCATTTGACTCTCCTCCACCCTGCCCCTTGGCACCTTCCCCTCTCTACTCCTGCCCTGCCCCCCCCCCCCTCCCCAGCGCCAGCCCCTCCGCAGCGCCCGTCCCTCAGGCCGCCTCGGGCCGCACAAGTCTTTGAACCTCCGCCTTCCCCGGGCCCCGCGGCCCGCAGAGAGCGCTAGGTACCTGGTCCCTGGGTTGAGGGAAACGTGTCCAAACCCTTTCGTCTCCTTAGCCCCACCTCCCTTAGTTCTTCCCTGCCCCCTCTCTCACCTTCTGCCTTGCAGTTTGCAGGGCAGAAGCCTGTGGTCCGACCCCAGAAGCCCCTGCAACTCCTGCCCCAGCTGTGCCCAGAGCAGGACCACTTGCCAGGACTGGAGCGGAGGCCGTGAGGCTGCCCTGGCTGGCATGTGCTTTGCCTGGCTGCCACTTGACTCCAACTGGAGCCGGGGCTGTCTGCGAGGACCCAGACTGCAGCTCTAAAAAGAGTTCCACAGAGGCCTCAGCTCCAGTCCCAGCACCTGCCAAGCCTGAGCACACCCTGCAGCACCCCATGTGGGCTCTGCACAGCTCCTGCTGGGACTCCGAGGTGGCCCAAAGGGGTCACCGGACCAGGAGCCCGTGCAGCAGAGGCAATCCGGTTCAGAGAGGGAGGGTCTGTATGCCATTGGAAGCCGGTCCAGATGCCCTACATGCCCTGCTGGCAGTAGGGGGAGGAGACAGGGCTTTCCAGGACATTTCACTACTTGATGGGGCACCATGACAGAGTATTTAAATTCAAGACAGTCCTGGAAAAATCGGGACATCTGGTCAGCATACCTCTAGGAACTAGGCAGGTGACAGCTGCTGTAGGGGGAAGAGGGGCTGCTGGGGGAGGGGTAAGGCGTTCACAGCCATAGTTCATGCTGCTTGCACACTATTTGACAGCCTCTGCTAACACTGTGAGAGACACACAGGTGATGCTCTGTCTCAGTTCTCCTCTCACCCCTCCAGCCCTCCCTGCCGCTATCAGATAATGGGACTGGAGGAGTGGATAGAGGGGAGAAATAGGGTTCAGGAGCTTAGGGTGCCCCACTTTATGTAGGAGCTGTTAATGATTTAAGGAGGAAAAGTATTCTTTTAACAACATAATTCTTTTGGGCTGTGTCTACATTGGCATGATTTTGCGCAAAAACATGCTGCCTGCCTACACTGGTCGGGAGTTCTTGCGCAAGAACACTGACGTTCTAATGTGTGAAATCAGTGCTTCTTGCGCAAGAACTTTGATGCTCCTGCTCAGGAATAAGCCCTCTTGCGCAACTGATCTTGCGCAAGAGGCCAGTGTAGACAGGCAACATGAATTTCTTGCGCAAGAAAGCCCGATGGCTAACATGGCCATCGGAGCTTTCTTGAGCAAGAAAGGAGCGTCTACACTGGCACGGATGCTTTTGCGCAAAAGCACATGCCAGTGTAGACGCTCTCTTGCACAAATACTTTAACGCAAAAACTCTTAGGCTGTGTCTAGTTAGGCTGTGTCTAGACTGGCCAGTTTTTCCGGAAAATGAGCCGCTTTTCCGGAAAAACTTGCCAGCTGTCTACACTGGCTGCTTGAATTTCCGCAAAAGCACTGACTTCCTACTGTAAGAAATCAGTGCTTCTTGCAGAAATACTATGCTGCTCCCGTCTTTTTTGCACAAAACTTTTGCGCAAAAGGGCCAGTGTAGACAGCTCAGTTTTGTTTTCACGATCGGGGCTTTTTTGCAGAAAAGCGCGTCTAGATTGGCACGGACGCTTTTCCGCAAAAAGTGCTTTTGCCGAAAAGCATCCATGCCAATCTTGATGCTCTTTTCCAAAAATGCTTTTAACGGAAAACTTTTCTGTTAAAAGCATTTCCAGAAAATCATGCCAGTCTAGACGTAGCCTTGCGTTAAAAGTATTTGTGCAAAATCTTGCCAATGTAGACATAGCCTTGGAGTTTTGTAGATAACTGAAAATGTGATCAATAACTTTTCTAACAAAAATTGTGTTGTTTTACTAATTAATACATGGTACATTTAAAACTGGAAGAACTTTTGCATGGATCTTGTTTGTTTGGCTTTTCAATTAAAACTTAACACAAATCCCTTCTAGAATTTGGGAAGAGGTATTTGAAACCATTAGGCGATTGTTCTGGCTCTTCGGAAGGATCCTATTGACTCTCAAGCATTACCTAGTGCTTGCTGCTTGGGTGTATTGGAGGATGAAAACCTTATTTGCAAATAGGGCTTCTGGAATCATAAATTGTTTAGTGCCCCCTGCAGGCAGGCAAAAGGACAACAAGGACTGAGTCCATGTCACCAGGGGAACAAAATGCAGCCATCTCTCAGCAACAGTTAGCACCAGAAACAAGATAGACACCACAATTATTAGTAACAGCTTTATTGAGAGAACTGAAAAGGCAAAGCCCTCCAGGGCAGGGTAATGAAAGCAGAAGGGCCCAACTGAACATTGTACTGCAGAAGGAGGCAAGAAGCTGCTTACAGTCAACACCCTCCACTGCACACAAGGAGCGGGGGAGGAGGAAGAGAAAGGAAGAATCACACCATCAGAAAGATTTGCTCCCAGTTGTGCTGACAAAGCATAAATTGGTGCTGCCAAGGCTAGAGAGAAGAAGCTGTTATTGCTGACCCACTGGGAACAGGATCAACAACTTCCCACACCAGTTGCCTCCCCTAGGTGCTGATGGGGAGACAGACATTGTTTTCCTCCCTACCAGCCACCCAGGGAGGAGCGCTTCTTTCAGGGCAATGCAAAGAGCCACAAAGCAGTGGATTGAGGGTAAAAAGGGCCTAGTGGCATCTAACCATAAGACAGTGGGTTACACCCTCCTCATTATTTGGTCCATGCCTCCCCTCCCCCTGGAACCAAGGCTGGGAACAGGACTGCAGTCAGGATGCTGGGACCAGAATCCAGGGGCTGGAACTGCAGCAAGGAGCAAGGCTGAGAGACAATGGCCAAGGCCAGAGTCAGAATGGGATACGATAGGGCAAGGTGGCGCTCATTCCAGTCTCCTGTGAGGGCTGTCCCAGGACCAGATACACACACTCCCCGAACACTTCTCTGCACCCCCCAGGGGCACTCCCCAACATTTGGGGACCACTGCCATGAGAGATCGGTCAAGACCCCATTTTACAACAATCTGAGTACCCAGAGGTGTTTGGAGACTGAGGGAATTGGTCTGGGACCAATAGGCCCGCCAAAAGGGAGGGGCAAAGGGAGCAACTACCCCCCAGGGCCTGAGGATTCCAAAGGGCCTGGGGGGTCCTGGCTGCTACCATAGCAGCAGCCAGAGCCTTAGGCCCTTTCAATCGCTGCCAGGGGACAGTGCTCTCTGGGCGGCGCTGAGGGCTAGCTGCTCCAGCCTCACCCCTTCTGCCTAAGGCCCCGCCACTTCTGGGGCATGCTGCCAGTCCCCACATACGGCCCAGGGGCCTGATGATAGCCCAGCCCTGGGCAATGAGGCTAGCAGCATGTCCCAGTGCTATCACAATGCCACATTGGCATTCTGGCAGCCGCCCACGTGGGCTGACCCACAGGGTGCATGTGTGACCCCTCAACAGCTCTGGACAACACCAGTTGAAATACTTGGTCCAGTCCTGATCCAGTCCACAAAGCTGAGTTGGTGCTGGATGGAACAGCAAAGGACAAAGGGGTGGGAACCTGGCCACTGGGACTCTGATGGGTGGATTCTCAGCTCTTCCTCCTCATGCCTGAAGAAGGGAAGAGGCAGGCAGAGGAAGCCATGGGGGCCTTGGACGGCTCATCTATTTATTAGCACAAGAGAATTTGCAAACACTGCTAGGTTTGGGGTGGGGGATCCTGAGTTTCTGCCCTTGTCCCAGTCTCCCCCAGCATCCTAGTAGCTCTGCTGATTAGGAAAGACTCATCTCTTAAGGCACATATAAGCTATGGAGGCTCATCCAGTGGCCACTCAGTTGGACAGGATGTCTGAAGTCTCCGACACCAGCCTCCCATCCCTGGTCTCTATTTTCTTGATCACCACGGTCTTTGACTTGCTGACAGCAGCACTCTCCAGCGTGGGGGAATTCATGGAGTAGCCGCTGCTTGAATAGGAGCTGTTGTATCCTCCCCCATAGCTACTATATGCACTGCCAAGCCCACCTGCAGGAGAGGAGCAAGACAGAGGACCACTAAGACCATGCAGGACATGACTCCCAGCTGAGGGCAATGCTAACTGCATGAATGGCTCAACCCACAGCCTGGGGGCTTGCAAGGCAATCAAGCATGGGTGACCTGTGGGGGTGCATGTAGGACCACTCCAAGGAGGGAGGGCCAGCCAGCATGGGGGCTAGCAAGCCAGAGGGCCGGCAGCAGCATGGGGAAGGCGCAGGCTAAGTGGCTCTAGCTTAGGGGGCTCGGCTCTCCCTCTGTGTTGCTTCCTCCCCAGGAGTGATGTGGCCAAAGAACAATGCCACACGAGTTGGAGCCACTTATCCTGCACCTTCTCTGCTGTCACTGCTGGTGAGCGCAGGGAGGTGGCAGCGTGGCCTCATGGCACAGCCCCACTAGCCCCCTGGGCCCTGGGAAGAGGTGAGACAGGGAGGGGCAGAGCAAGGGCAGAGTAGGCAGGGCTTGGAGCACAAGGGGTTGTCTCATCTCTTCCTGGGTGTGGGTGGGGAGACACATGACAGCGCCCGCTCCTTCCCTTCTCACCAGTTGCCTCTGCAGCCAAGGATTGAGCGCTAAGGACCTTGGAAGGCTACAGAACTTGATCTCTGCTACCGAACCTGGCTCAGACCTATGGCTGCGTCAGCAGTGTACCTCTGTACTTTAGAACCAAGGCAGGGAGGGAATGGGAAAGTCTAGACCTTGGGCTATGTGGTGGCACCTCGGTCAGCAGGATGGAGTGAGGACCACACGTGGTCCTGACTCACTAACCAGATCCCCTAAAGGATGGAGAAAGTATGGGCAGGACTGGTCAGCCTCTAATTGACACCCCATTACAAAAGCAGAAAGGATGTCATTACACATCATCTAACCCTTTAATTCCTTCCCTCATTTCTCAGACTCCCATTGCTGAAGAGACAAATCACTCTCCAAAGCATCTGGTTCAGTGCAGGTAAGACTGTGCGCTCACAGGGCATGTGGGAAAGGTGGATCAGACCCAGCTCTGCAAGGTACTGAGCACCCTCAGCTCCTACTCAAGTTAGAGCACGAGGGCCCTAAGTGAGTTGTAAGGGGCCAATTTCTCCTCCCCGGCCCATGTGTCTAGTCCGTAGTTGTGTGGATCTGCTCACATGTGTCAAACTCTCTCCGAGTAGCAGCACCCACCCTCACCATAGGGGGGACTCTGCTCCAGTTCGAAGTGCTACCCTCCTGCCTCACATGACCAGACCCCACCCAAAACTAAATGAAATGCATTTACCCGAATAACTGCTCTTCGTGGTCTGAATACTCATCTTTTGCATTCCAGAGTCCAGCCTGCCAAACAAAAGTGCATGACATGAGTTAGCCAGAGGCGGCCCGTGAGTTTAGGCTGACTCGGCCGTCACCTAGGGCGCCGCCTTCAACGGGGTGCCCGGGGTACCCAATGATGATGACACGCCAACGTCATACCGTTAAGGGCCGTGCAGGCGGGGGCGCCGTTCTGCCTGGGGTGCCAGCTGCTGCAGCCCGCCTCGGGCCACCCCTGGAGTTAGCAACGCACAAAGTACTGAATGGAGTTGGGGCACAGAGAAGGACAAAACCAGCACTGCATGGTATGTGGAAGCCACTGCCAACATGGCATCAGAACAGTTCATGTGTGTGTCACAAACCCAATATTGCTAACAGCAGCGATAGCTCAATCGAAAAAGGCCTGTTATTTTTTAAGTAGCAGTTCCATCCCAGCTCCCCTGGGAACTTCTGTGCATCTGTAGCCTGCCGGAAAGTGACACGAGTGAAGCCTTAGATGAAGAGGACTTATTACAAATATTGTTGTCCTTGCCTTCTAGATTAGCCACTGACCCAGCTGAGGCCAACCAGTGAGCCTGTAGCGAAGGCAGGACTAGACCCCACCTATGTTAAATGCTACATAAGGGGGTCTCAAGCATGGGGCTGAGACCAGAGTCCCCTTGTTATATAGCTATGTGGGATTGGGGGCAGTATCTTAGTATGGAAATGGAGGTCCCCGCATGAAACGGGTTTGAGAATCCCCACACTGGGCAGCACTGCCCCTCCTGCATCTCAGGTATCTGAGTCTGTGAATCAATTACAGATTAAGTATCAGAGGGGTAGCCGTGTTAGTCTGAATCTGCAAAAGCGACGAGGAGTCCTGTGGCACCTTATAGACTAACTGAAGTGTAGGAGCATAAGCTTTCGTGGGCAAAGACCCACTTCGTCAGACTCATCCTCCTTGATTGGATCCACCTGGTCATCTCCAGCCTGATCCTGGCCTGCATATTTATTCCTGCCTCTGGAAATTTCCACTACATGCATCTGACGAAGTGGGTCTTTGCCCACGAAAGCTTATGCTCCTACACTTCAGTTAGTCTATAAGGTGCCACAGGACTCCTCGTCGCAATTACAGATTATTCACAGGAGTCTCGCTGAAAAACAGATATGACGAGAAGCTGTAGTAATGGGGGAGGTACCATGTAAGCTCCTTAAGGTGCCCGCAGCCCCTCCTAGGCTCCACGTATTCAAACTGGTTACACCCAGAGCAAACCTGAGTCACATTTCCAAACAACCCGTTTAAACGGGGGCCCATACGTTGAGGGCCATCAATCCAGTTTGCACTCAGAATGCTGAGAGCCCAACTGCGGGTGACCTTTGGCAAGCTGGCACTAAAAGGGGCACAAGGGTCAGAATGTACGGGGTTAATCTATAGACCTTGCTCAAAGACATGCAGCACACTGGAGATAAGTTCCAGCAATGGGCCGGTCTGTCGTGTCCCCGCATCCCAGCCCTCCACTCCTGCTCTCTTATTGAGCCTCCCACTGGATAGAAGGAGAAACCATCCAATCATGGCACACAATGCCTGCTTCCCACACCCACCTGCTTTCCTCTCCTTCCAGCAGCTTCCTGTAGGTGGCAATCTCGATATCTAGGGCCAGCTTGACAGTCATCAACTCCTGGTACTCCCGCAGCTGGCGAGCCATGTCCTGCTTGGCCCTTTGCAGGGCAGCCTCCAGCTCAGCCAGCTTGGCCTTGGCATCTTTGACAGCCATCTCGCCACGCTCCTCCGCTTCAGCAATAGCTGCCTCCAAGCTGGCCCGCTAGAGAGGAAAAAAAAAAGATAGTTTCCACTGAGAACCGGAGCCTTCTCAGAGCAGTAGAGGGAAGCTCACAGGAGAGATCTGCTGGGGCATTTACAAGTCATTTTTGCACCCATACTGCTGCACCAAAGCCGCCCCCCCCCCATGTACTCGCATTGCACCCAGGCAAAGCAGGGGCTTGCAACTGGTCAGTTTCCTTCCATTTCAAACTAGTATAAGCAATGTGCATCCACACACTGCTTTGCAGATAGTTTGCACCCCATGGAACATATAGAACAGCCTATTCAGATTTTGCTTTCTCCCACCATACAGGCTTCTCCACAGAGCACTGGGGAACAGGGAAGTGAAAACCTCTCTGGAAGAAACCGAAGCAGGCTCCTGTCTACACCAGGGCTGCAAGCATAATGCCTTCCCAACACATGCCCCTGATCCTGTTTCTAAGCACTGTTCCATTCTTCAGTGCAGGCTGAAGTTAGTGTGCAGTTTGGGACTGGTGAGGTGCTTCACTGCTAGTCTTGAGAGCTGTGAAAGAAACTAGGTTGAGAGAGAAAGTGACTACCCAGGCAGAGAGCTCACAGAGACAAGAGCTGGGGAGATCACAACCAGATCAACAGCCTGGGTAAACAGACAGCTGTGGTGCTCCACTGATTACATTGGCTGGAGAACTGGCCCAGAGACTAAAAATTAGCTAGGAGCCCAAACTAAAGGGCTGTGTCTAGACGGGCCAGTTTTTCCGGAAAATCAGCCTCTTTTCTGGAAAAACTTGCCAGCTGTTTACACTGGCCGCTTGAATTTCTGCAAGAACACTGACTTCCTACTATAAGAAATCAGCGCTTCTTGCGGAAATACTATTCTGCTCCCGTTCGGGCAAAAGTCCCTTTCGCGCAAAGCTTTTCCACAAAAGGGCCAGTGTAGACAGCTCAGATTTGTTTTCTGCAAAAAAGCCCCGATTGCAAAAATGGTGATCGGGGCTTTTTTGCGGAAAAGCGCGTCTAGATTGGCACGGATGCTTTTCCGCAAAAAGTGCTTTTGCGAAAAGCGTCCTGCCAATCTAGACGCTCTGTTCCGAAAATGCTTTTAACAGAAAACTTTTCCGTTAAAAGCATTTCCATAATATCATGCCAATCTAGACACAGCCCAGTTGAATAGCCCAAGGGTTTGGCACAGCTGAGACCATGGGGAATTCCCTGTCTACACTAGAGAATGGGGCTGTCTTGCACCACAGCTGCAGCTGCAAACCGAGCTCTACTAGGTGGACTGAGAGGGACCTATGGCCTGGCAAGCTGAGTGTGGTAAAAGGGAACCTTTTCCCCAGGTCACCAGGGCAGGTACCATGCCCCCAAATAACTGCAGAAGGAGGAACCAAGAGGCTGGTGCAACCTCGGAGAAGTCAGCACTTTTCTGACCTGGCCTTTCAGAGCATCGATCTCTGACTGTAGCCGGTGGATCATCCTGTTGAGCTCATTGATCTCAGTCTTGGTGTTGCGAAGGTCATCTCCATGCTTCCCCGCCACTTCTTTGATCTCCTCATACTGCACGGGAAGGAGAGACAAGGAACTGAGTACATTGCAATGTGTACAGTGCCATCAGTTGTCCCCCTTTCATGTCTGCAGGATCCAGGCCAGGATTTAGGGCAGTGTCAAGCAAGATATGGCCCGCTGAGCCTCCAGATCTGGCCCACAGCCGCCCCACCAGGACCCTCTGGCATGGAGAAGCCAGTAACTTCAAAGCAGGTCCACACCAGTTAGGGGTGAGGGGAAAAGTTCACATGCAGCCCCTGCCTCACAGCAAAATCTCTCAGCTATTTTGAGCAGCCTGTCCTGCAGGGGTCCTGCAGGGCTGCTGGCTGGGAGCCACCCAGGTAAGCACCGCCTAGGCAGTGCCTGCCTCTGATACCTCAGCCTCTCCCTTCCCTCGACTCCTTGATACAGGCCACTACCCCCTCCTGCCCCAAGTCATAACCCAAACCCGTTGCACCCCCATTCCCAGGTCACAACTCCCTCTCAGACCCTCAACCCCCTTCCACACCCTCCCCCAGGCCAAAATCTTCTCCTGTGCCCTTGACCCCTCCCAGAGTCCATACCATTGCCTGCACCTCAGTCCCTTACCCCAAGCTCCCTTCTGTACAAAACCTCGGTCTCAGACCCCGCACTCCCTCCATAGAAAAGTGTGGCCCTTGACCACTTACCAAAATTTTGGAGTGGCCCCTTATCAAAAATTATTGCCCACCCCTGATTTAGGAAGATCCTGTGTGGGGAGAGATGCTGGCCGAGGCTGGGAGCTAGAGAGACAAAACAGGGTTTCTGTGTCCAGCAGCCTCAATAAAAAAATCCTCTTTATAACCATTACAGCTGATTCCTGGCTCTTTACCACCAGGAGTCCTGGTGTCCTGTCACAGCACTGCTCTGGAAGGCTTTATTTTTTGTAGCTTTAATCAGCCATGCAAATTTGCCAAGAAAATTCATGAGACTGCAAATGGCGAGACTGGTGGCATTTCACTTCCCCTTCAGTCAAATCCTTCTCCCCTAGAGGAAGTAGGATTTTGCAAGACCGGAAAATATTCCATATGTTGGGGAGGGAAGCCAGAATGACAGCCACTTAATATTGCTGTTTAGACAGCCTCGTGCATGCTGCTATGCAAATTTCAGGTCAGCTCTGCAGCGAAGGGTGTCATCCTGGGGTGGAGGAACTAGTGTGGAATTACTCTGTGCAAATGTAACACCAACAGATGGAACTGAACCTGGGACCTCTAGAGCTTAATGCCTAAGCCTCTACTGCATGAGCTAAAAGCCAGCTGGCTCTTAACTAAGGCAGAGGAGCAAACTCATCCTCTCTCTGTAAGTTGACTAGATGGGACAGTGCACCACACCCAGCAGGTCTGTGGGTTACACAAAGTAGGGATGTTAAATTGCATGTAATCAACTGAATAGTTAATGGAATTTTCATCAACTGCTCTACTAGTTGATAAAGGGGGAAAGTGCAGAGCCGCCACGGGGTTAGCTCCCAGTCCCGGGAGCTAACCCTGCAGCAACTCTGCCTTTAAAGTGTATTAAGAGCTGCCTTGAAAGGCAGAGGTGCAGTAGAGGGGACCGGGCGCACCTGTGCAGAGGAGCAGCGTCTGGAGGGGATCAGATGGGAGTCAGGAATCAGCTGAATCCCAGCTTGTGCCGGGTCCCCCATTACACCTCTACCTCTCCCTGCCCCTCAAAATGGTGCTGGGGGGAACCGGCTTTTAAGCCAACTCCCCACAGCCCCAGCTCCTCCTCACCCCCACAGCCTTTCTTTGATAGCATATGCTTATCGGGTACTTGACTAGTCACTTAGATCCCTAACACAAAGTCAAAAAGCATACACTGCCAAACCCCTGCAGTATTAGAGGCAGCTGCTCGGGGTGGAACAGCACAGGTCCTGCAGGTCGGGCGGTGTGAGCAGGAGCTCAGTACAGAACTGGCAGTGGGGTGCTTCTGGGCGGGACTGGAATGATGCTTGACCTGCAGGGGAGCCCAAGGCTGGACTGCCAGAGGGTGTGGCAAGTACCAATGGTGTGTGGCAAGCACTCGCCGTTCCTGCTTGCACAAAACTCGGCCTTAGGAGTGAGGCTTCCACCTACGGCAATCAAAGAGAAGGGAAGCATGGTCCAATGGGCAGGGCACAGTTCCCAACTTGTCAGTCAGCCTATCTGTGCTTCATTTCCCCATGTGTGAAAAAGGGATGACAACCCGCCTGGCCTCCCCAGCATGTGGGGAGAACACACATGCTGAAGCTTGGGAAATGCTCTTCTATTATAATTGGAGGTGAGGAGGAGCATAATTAGTACTCCTGCAATGAGGAGTAACGGTAGTTCGAATTAGGAGCTTTAGTTCGAACTGCCTAGCCCGTGCTGCGTGTAGCCACGGGCAGGGAGTTCGAACTACCGGGCATTTAAAAATGGCGGCGCCCGGGAACATGCAAAGTTTGCAAGTTTGAATGACTACATTAGCCACCTAGTTCGAATGACACATTAGCCACCTAGTTCGAACTAGGGTGGCTAGTGTAGACATATCCTTATATACCCAAATCCAGGCTTTCATGTCAATGTGTATTGGATTCTAGCAACTGTTTATTTAAGTCCCATCTTCTTGCCAGGACAAATTTGTTTCTCACAAGCCACTTCCTAGTCCATCATTCAGTCTGTTTTAAAATATTCCTAGTGATGGAGCTTCCCTTGGGAGAACATAAGAACAGCCATACTGGGTCAGACCAAAGGCCCAACTAGCCCAATATCCTGTCTGCTGACAGTGGCTAATGTCAGATGCCCCAGAGGAAGTGAACACAACAGGGAATCATCAAGTAATCCCTCTCCTGTCACCCATTCCCAGCCTCTGACAGAGGCTAGGGACACCATTCCTACCCATCCTAATTGATGCACTTAACCTCCATGAATTTATCTAGTTCTTTCTTGAACCCAGTAAATGTCCTGGTCTTCACAACCTCCTCTGGCAAGGAGTTCCGTAGGCGGACCATGCGCTCTGTGAAGAAGAACTTCCTTTTGTTTGTTTTAAACCTGCTACCTATTAATTTCAGTTGGTGACCCCTAGTTCTTACGTTATGGGAACAAGTAAATAACTTTTCCTTGTTCACTTTTTCCACACCAGTCATGATTTTATAGACCTCTATCATATACCCCCTTAGCCTCCTCTTTTTCTAAGCTGAAAAGTCCCAAGTCTTTTTAATCTCTCTTCATATCAGGCCCGTTCCAAGCCCCTAATCATTTTTGTTGCCCTTTTCTGAAACTTTTCCAATGCCAATATATTGATATGTGGCGACGATATCTGTATGCAGTATTCAAGATGTAGGTATACCATAGTTTTATAAGGAAGCAGTAAGATGTTCTCTGTCTTATTCTGTATCTTTTTTTTAAAAATTATTCCTAACATTCTAGTTGCTTTTTTGACTGCCACTGCACATTGATTGGATGTTTTCAGAGAACTATCCACAATGACTCCAAGATCTTTCCCTTGAGTAGTTATAGCTAAATTAGTCCCCATCATATTGTATGTATAGTTGGGATTATCAGGGCTCGACAAATTCTGGAAAACCCTACTCGCCAGACAAAAAAGGGACTCACCTCCCTTCCCCCGAAAAAGTAGGGTTTTTTTATAGCATAAATTCCTAATAAGAACAAGAACAGTAATTACTAATAAAAAACAGGACTGTATAGCATTAAAGACTACACAGTCCTATTTTTTTGTTGCAGCTGCACCAGACTAACACGGCTACATTTCTACCACTAATTACTAATAAGTTATTATTAAATATCACCCAAGTTATTAATAAATATCTCATAAACCTCTATCTTTTTTCTCTGCTGCCATGTCTCCTCCCCTTGCTCCATCAGCTCCCTTTCTGCCTGCTGCCCCCCAACCCCTCACCCTCCCCTGCTGTCCTGACTCCTGCCCTTCTCACTGCCCTCAGCCTTCCTGAGACCTGCCCCCCTCCCCCACCCCTTCTCTC